GAATGATTCAGATATCCATTTTTAATATTTCTGCAATGTTCGCTTAAACATGTTTTTAAGCACCTTGTGGTCATTCCAACATATTGGAGGCCACAGGGGCATTCAAGCAGATATATAAAATTTTTAGTAGAACAATTAATAAAATCACAGATTTTATAAACCTTGTTTGTCCGTTTTGACATAAATTGAATAACTTTGTGGGGGACGGCAGGGTCAGTAGTTCTACAAGCTATGCACATTTTACATTTGCAGAAACCTTTTCCTGGCTAATCATGGCAGCATTCAACATATGGGTTTAGCTCCTCCCTCCAACCCTCAGGACAGGAAACACAATCAATTAAACAATTAAGCCTACCTTCCCCTAGTATATTAGGTACCCCAGTATCCCCCACACCTCAGTCTTTTCCTGTCCTCCTAGCCCTAGGACAGTTTAAATATTTTTTTTTCTCAGTTTCTTCTGAATGTTTTTTTATTTTTTGCTCACCTGACCATGTTTGATATGGTCTTGTCCCTTTGGAGGTCAGCCTCCCTCCTCAGGAAGCCCAGGCACATGTAGCCCAATCTCCATGGAGTTGGGAACCCCTGGGAGCCTGGGTGGTTAGTTCCACAGGCTGTGGGAATCCTCTGCTGTCCAGTGTGTGCTGCAGACCTCGATCAGACGATCAGCATAACGGTAAGACGCTCGCGCATGCGCAATGCGTCCGACCGGACCCAGAGTGAAGTTTGCCCCTTTCAAAAATGGAGGTTTAGCGATCTCGCGACCGAAGTGCGCATGCGCAATCATTTAAAGGTACAGAGCGGGAAATTTGAAATGGCGGTATTCAGCCTAAAAAACGCCTGTTTCCGTTCCCTTTAAAGATACAGTGCTCGGGGGGCGGAGCCTGGCATCTAGACTGAACGGTTGTGCTGAACCTCAGCTCCCGCTTTACTCAGCATTTTCTGGGGATAATACCTCGAAAAATCGGTGCAGCCGCACACTAGAGGAAGGCTACCTTGAAGGGGACACCCGGGGGAATCGCCCGATACCACATACAAGCCTGTAACCCCCCGGGACCCAACGAGATACCCTGAGGCCTGCCGGAGATCGAGCTTCGGGGAGATGGCCGCTCCCTGGGCTGACTGACCTGGATGTAGTGTCCTCGGGGTTGACCACTTCTACCCCCCCCCCCTCGGGACCGACGGGGGTCATCTCGGTCCGCACCAAACGACAGCAAGGGCAGTGAGAAGCTGCACTGACGGTCTGACGAACTGCAACACAAGGGCAGCCACGCTCGTGGTGCACCCAAAATGGCGGCGGCAAGCACATCAGACGAGCTGCACTGCACATCTGAAACGGACAACGAAGATATGAGGCGCATAGAAGCTGCCTTTGCCCGATTCTGGCACAAACTAAATAAAAAGCTGCAAATACCTCAAGTGACCGTGCAACCCCTCACAGGTGCGAGTAAACACGACCGTGCCCATGGGGAAAAGAGAAAAATACAGCCGCACAAGCAGACAGTACACACTAAGGGGAAGAGGCGCCCCACTCCGGGCACAGCAACTGACCCCAAACCAGCAACGCAAGCACAATGCCCGCCGAGGCCGAGGGCCGTGAGGAAACCACCTCCGCAGCATCAACCACCCTGCAGGGGGAATGCCCGCCGCAGGCGGCGAAGATACACCGGCCTCACCTGCACCCGACAAGGGAATGTCTCGATCTCTCAGAGCCCTCGAGTCAGTGGTCCGAAGATGCCACCCTCCATAAAGGCCTGGGGCTGGAGGGGGACCTCAACCCACAATTACTGCACCGACTCCACATGCCTTCCTACACCTGACAACAACTGGCCACGAACAGGCATGGGATGAAGAGGACTAAAAGAACTCTCTAACCTTTTCTCCTCACTGGAATTCACTGCTTAACTTTCGCCTACATGTTTGACTGCTGTTGGTAATGATTTATTGCTATGCTTAATATGTCACACGGCCCCCACACACTGCAGTCTGCTCTCCCTCATTTACCATGTTTCCCTTACCTGATTTTGAATATGCTCAAATAGATATTTAATTGTTGGAGCCTGGACGGTAGCCAGTCTGCTCATATATCAATGCACGTATGGCAGTTAGCAGTGGGGGTGCCTGGGGATATAAGCACGTCAGTATTTGCAAGCAGTCAATCGCTTATTATGTTATGTTAGCGTGTTCTTATTATTTGAGTTAATTTTTACACTCAGGGAACTACTGAACCTACGCAATCACCCTATACAAAACTTGCTCACTTAACCTATTACAACTAGTCATTGTTAAGCGACTTAAATTGCATATTGCCTAAACCTGTTTACAAAAGCAACGTTAAACCATAAAACATAAAAAAGAGGTACAAATATTAAGGAAATGTTAGATACCACTGTTATTGAGCCCTGTACTGTATTCTAAATGCACATTTCCCTCTCTCTATTCTGTATCCCATCTAATATGCCTCAATAAAATACAGATTGACGAAAAGTGAAAAACAAAAAATAATAAATAAGAATCCCCTCGAGTGTTAAAAAAAGATACAGTGCTCTAGTAGACTGTTCTTAAAGCTCTGCAGGTAAGAGAATTACTTATATTTTAAAATATCATAATATTGGGCTGGGAATACATTTCTTATTATTTTAACATTCTTAGCCCTACAGTCAGTATGGATCCTTCATCCCCTTCTGCAAGATCAACGAGATCTGCTATAGGTCATAGGTGAGCAATATTTTTTCTTGGTTTCTTCACGTTACTAAAAAGAGTGCACAGAGGGTACAGTCTTATGACTTCTGTATCTTACAGCCCTCGTGACCGGTCCTGTTCCAGATCCCCATTGAGGAGAAGGGAGAAACCGGCAGCCTGCCCTGGATGTGGAGCAAGGCCTTTGGATAACTGCAGGCTCTGCAGAAAATGCTTAACCATGGTCGCAGGAGAATCTGATCGCCAGAGGTCACCGCAAGCCTCTACCTCCTCAGCCAAGGATATTGCTTATTGGATTAAGCAGGCAGTGGTTGAGGGAATGGCTGAATCCCACAAGATCAAGAGATCAAGAGGGGAAAACTTCGGCATGGATTCAGATCAGTCTGACGATGAATACAGACAAACTTCATCTTACCTGGATTTGGAGCCAATCTCGTCCAGTGAAGAGGAGTATATGAAACAACCTTGCTCCTTGGACTCCAAAGCTATGGAGCATTTGATTATGGCTGTTAGAAGAACATTGGATTTGCCGGAAGAAACCAGAGAATGTTCAGCTTCTGACAGACACTTTGGAGATTTACATAAGAAAAGACCTTCCTTTCCAGTCCACAGCTCTATTAAAGACCTGATGAGGAACGAGTGGCAAATTCCTAGTAAGAGGATTACTAGTCAGGGTCGGCTTTCGAAGTTATATCCGATTAAAGAGGAGGATTCCAGATTGTGGACTACGGTCCCCAAAGTTGATGCTCCTATCATTAAGGTTGCTAAAAGATCCACGCTACCAATTGATAGCAATGCCTCCCTTAAGGAGCCCATGGATAAAAGGATTGATGCTGATTTATCTAAAGCTTTCATGACAGCGGGTTTAGGTTGCCATCCAGCTGTGTCCATTTCGGCTTTGTCTAGAGCCATGCGTTCCTGGTTGCTTGACTTGGAGGATGACATAGATAAAGGTGTCAGTAGACGTCAGATGGCGGAATCCTTAAGGGATATCAAACTCGCCAGTGACTGGCTTTTGGAATCCTCCACTGACCTCATTAGAATTCTATCTAAGGTTATGGCACATTCAGTCACCG